CATCAGAATCATCTTTTATAGACGGGGTAAGCTCATAATCACTAGTGTCTATAGATTTCGTTCCTGAGTGAGTTTCAGAGGGTTTTGGAGTCGGATTAGATTCTTGGACAGCAGCTGGAAGCGGTGTTAGGTTCTCTATTCTTTCAGCAGTTCTGTTTCGTCTTGTATAGACCCGAAGTTCCTGAGGAGTGGGTTGTGTAGAGTGGGGATATTGAATAGGAGATGGAGGGGTTTTAACAGTCGATGAGGGACCCGTGTCAGTTGGTAAATGAACACAGAGCTGTTGTTCACTACGACTACTCTCCCCCTGAATGACAGACCCTTGGTAGTATAATTGATGCTAAAAAAATGTGACATCCATAGAATTATAGACATTTTTAGTTGAAGGACAATAACACTTGTAGTCTTTCTTGTTGGTCGAATACCCTATGAATATGCATTTGATAGATTTGGGGTCTAATTTACTGCGGTGTTGTTTGTGAATATGAACAAAAACAGAGCAACCAAATAGTTTGGTATGGACAACTGAAGAGAGTGTACAGGTATTTGGAAAGGAGCGAAGGAGGACATCAATTGGACTACGGAAACCCATAATACGAGAGGGCATCCGATTTATGAGGTAGGCAGCGGTTAATGTTGCCTCGCCCCAATAACATTTAGAGACCGATGTGGTAAACATGAGACAGCGGGCTACCTCCAACAAGTGACGATTTTTCCGCTCGGCCACCCCATTTTGTTGGGGACTATCAACACACGTGCTAAGGTGAAGGATGTCATGTTGAGTAAGAAATGTTCCTAAGGAGGTGTTGAAAAAATCTCGTGCATTATCTGTTTTGAGAGTCTAGATTTTTGTGTCAAATTGAGTGAGTATCATTTGATAGAATGCACAAAATATTGGTCCTATCTCGGATTTGTCACGCATAAGATAGATCCATGTCACCCGTGTGTGATCATCAATAAAGGACACGAACCATTGGGCCCCAGAAATATTTTTTTCACGTCAGACGTCACTATGGATATGAGAAAAGGGACGAGTGAGTTTGTATGATAATCGAGGAAATGAAGTACGAGTGTGTTTGACAAGTTGACAAAATTCGCAATTAAAAGAGGTAGGATTTTTATTAATAAATAAATGAGATCCTAGGTACATAAAGTTGGGATGACCTAAACGATAATGAAGTAACATGATTTCACTATCGTTATTAACGCTGGAATGGAATACAGATGTACTAAGTGGATTTAAGCCGGACAAACTCGATACTGGAACACAACCGGTGGGTGAGACTAGACTGACAGAGGGTTTGTTGAAGAGATAGAGACCACTGCGCAACTCAGCACTGCCAATCATCCTCCCCGACTTCAAGTCCTGAAATTCACAAACATATGGAAAAAATTTAGCAACACAATGACAATCATGAGTGAGCTTACTAATAGAGATCAGATTGCAATCCAAAGTAGGAACATGAAGCACAGAAGTGGGGAATAAATCTGGATAGATGCGGACAGAACCAAGACCAGCAACTTTGGAGGCTGATCTATCAGCAATCCGAACAGTGAGGGTCGGATTACACGGCCGGTAATCCATTAATAAGGAGACATCCTCGGTCATATGATCGGAGGCACTTGAGTCAACAATACAGGGGCGAGAAGAGGTTGAATTTAAGACGAAAGTGGATGGAGAAATACCTTGATAGGTAACAAGGCCGGTGGCACCCGATGCCCAACTAGTAGGCTGGACTGGCGTCAGCTAACCGAGCATCTTCTGGAGGGCATGAATTCGTTCTTTGCTGAATGGGCTCATTCCTGGAGAGGCTTTGGTGGTGCTGGTGGCAGTTGCCCGATGATCCCATTTGGGTTTCCCATTGGCGGGTTTGTCATGAATCCGCCAACATGTATCCCGAGTATGGCCAGAACGGCGGCAGTGGTCACACCAAGGGCGGCCCTGGCGTTGACGACCCGTCGAGGGCTGTAGTGGACAAGGAAGCACCTAACATGACCTTTAGACGACTCTCTTCGCGGCGTATGTCGAAGAAAACTTCACGAATTGTTGGAAGAGGTTTCGAATTCAAAATCCGTGAGCGAGTCTGGTCAAACTTAGATTTGAGACCGAGAAGAAATTTGAAGGTGCGTTTCTGTTCTATGATTCGACGAAATATGACAGAGTCTGTGGGACACTTCCA